ATAATATATGTTGTTTGTATATCTGGAGTTTTGTAACAAAAATAATTTCCCCCTGGGATTATTAAAGTATTTCTGATTCTGATTCTGATTCTAATACAATACTAATAATAGTATACTAATACCATACTAATACTAAACTAATAATAAACAAAATATACTGTATTATACTAATGCTATACTAATACTAAACAATAATATACTAAAATATGCTATACTAATGCACTACTACTAGTACTCGTACTACTATACTAATATTATACTATTCTAACAAAGAATGCAACCCGTTTTTTTCTGTCCCCTAACAATTAAAACTAGATAATATTATTTGGCTGTGAGAGATGAATTCCATAGGACAATGAGAGTACATATATTTAAAAAAAAAGGTAACATTTTGGAGGATTTGTTAGTGTGTGTGTTTTGGTGGAGCTCCGGGGACAGCAGGGGACCCTCTGGACTCACAAAGCCCAGTAGGACAGCAGGTTCCCGGGCACAGTAAATGTGCTGACCCCCTGAACCCTCTGGCAGTTCTCCAACCATCTGCACCAACCACAATGACTGACAATACTAATTATATTATAATGTCACAGTGCAACACATATAAGTGAAAAAATAGCCAATGTTTTTAATCATTGTTCACACCATCATTAACACACTGACTACAATTAATCAGTTAATCTAAGGCTGTAGTTTCTTTACCAAAACATATCATTATCATTATATTACAAATAACACTGATTTGCTTTTACTTAAGTGAAATATTAAATAGAGGATTTAAACTTCTGATATTCTGTTTACACATTTCTAAAGTGTAGTTTGCATGTGATGCAAATATCTGTTTTGCTTCCTTTAATTAAAATCTGGCTCTAGATGTGACCTACAATCTGTTGATTGTTCATCCACTCAATCTTTGAAAAGTTACACTTAGTGTTTTCTTCTTTCTTCTGGTTAATAACTTTAAAAAAGTCGAACCATAGGGCATGTTGCTTCGGTAGTAGTTTTTCTTTAAGACCAAAACTCTCTGGAAGACAGAGAAGTGGTGGAACAGTAAGAAAAAGACTGTGTGTGTGTGTGTGTGTGTGTGTGTAGGTGTGCGCGTGCGTGTGTGACACAGAAGCCTCAGGCTACAGCAGCTTGTTTGTTTCATTCATTTTGTTGGTTTAACAGTCCATCCTGGAGAGTGACGGAGCAAGATGGAGGAAGGCAGAATATTAGATCGAAAGGCACATTTTCATGTTATTGCACTCTATAGATTACTGTAAATGCCCCTTGTATATCTCCTCTGTGGTTGGAGGAGAAACTAACACTAAGGAAGTAAGGAC